AGAACGGGAAAGTCGTGACCTTTAGTGAAGTGGGTTAGGTGGGTGAAGGGGTTAAATCTTAGCTGTGTCTGCAGAACGATTTGATTTGATAATTCCCACAACCTGTGAACCCTTAGAGAAGAACAATAAAGGCTGCAATATATATCCTATTCTTTTTGTGAGGCTCCAAATACCAGACATTTGTAGGTTCAGATGGGATGTCATGAGTGGTGTTGGCTTGAATTAGCCTGAATGGCAACCAGAAATCACAGAAATGAATCTGCTGGTAGACATGCAAATCTTTTTGCTTTCTGCAGAAAAAGAGGAGGAGAAAAGAAATATGCTCTGAGCTGAGACTCTACACATGTACTGGAGTGGTTCCCAGATCTGACTGCATTAGTTACAGTGGGGTTTTTTTCTTTGTTGGCAAACACGTGTTCCTTTACTGAAAAAGTAACAAGAACCATCTTGGAAACAGATATACATAAAAGACCAGCAATGAAAAATCCAACAGAAAAAAATGCTTCATCTCTATCAAGAATATCCTTTTGTAACTCTTCTGAAAATTGCACAATATGTGCATTTTTTGACCCTGAGACGAGATTGCATCTCCAAAGAAACATCCTGAGCATTGGCAATTGCTTTGTCTGAAGTTCTTAAAACATCAAAAAAAAAAAAAAAAGATACAGGTTACATTTGAGGTAATGAGGACATTTTGTATGTATTCCTGGTACCAATTATATTGCTGGAGAGGATTAATGAGGAAAAGGCAAACTCATAAATTAAACACTTAATGCTATAACATAGAATCATACTTCTGCATGATGGTGATACTATGTGTTGGTGTGTGTGGGGGAGCAGGGGGAACTTGGCTGAATGTGTAGCTGTGGGTGTGTCTGAGTGTGCTATGTTGTGGCTTGGATCCGGGTGATTTGCTCTCAGCCAATCAGATTGAAGCGGGAGGCGTTTCTTTGTAATGGGGGGTTGTCAGTCAATGATTAAAGGCTGGGGGAGGTTAAACTCTCCACCAGGCCGTAAAACACTGACCCTCTGAAGTTAGGAGTGTAGTATGATGTCTGTAGTAGGTCTCAGGCCAAAATATCTGCTTCAGCTCAAGTTTAAAATCTGAGGTTGATGCTTCTGGAATAGGTGCCAAGACTATGTTGATACAGTATGAAGGTCCAAATGTAGATGTGTATGTGACATCACTTCATTTTGACCCAAAGGTCACCGAGTCCATTCAACTATTTTTAAACTTATGGAGTGTGTTAATATTTATTTAAATTATTATTCATCACAATATTAAATGAAGCTGCACCCTCAACAGAAATATAATTCCAGTCCAAAATGGTTGATTGTATTTGTAAACGTTGATCATGATCTTTGAAAAGTTTCCATGAAATGCTGGGTGGCTTTTTCACAAATTTTCTATCCAGACCCAGCTGTGATATTTTAGGAAAGGAGGGCAATACCAATTTTGGATACCTAATCAATACTCGAACCCTCTAAGAAGAAGGAATGTAAAAAAAATAACAAAACAAAAAACAGTTTTTCAGGAAGATGTTCTCCATTTGATTGTTTTTTAAGGTACCTGCTGAGGACAAGTTAACCTCTAAGAGAGTAGAATAAATCCTGCAGATTTTTCTGTGGACTATAGATAAGTCATATCTGCTGCTTGAAGCTAAAATACTTTCAGAACATAATGTAGCAGCTGTGTTCATTTAAGATCAGCATCAGTTGCTATTTTTTTATATGACAGACATGACTACCTACTCATTATAAATGAACTTTATTGATCTCACTTTGGAGAAATATACCTCTGCATTTAACCCATTCCTTTGAATCGAGGTTTTTTTCAGGACCCCAGAGTGGTTGGATGATCATTAAGCATGGTGAACTACAACAATAAAGAAATATACACCTTTCATACCATACCATACCGACTTTATTTATGAAGCACTTTATACACCGGACAGGACCAAAGTGCTGTACACAATCATAAAATACAATGCAATACAATACATACAATACTTCATCCTATTACATTTTCATTATACGGTACAAAACAGGAAAATATTATAAATGAAATATACAGTTTATAATGGGTCAAGACTTGATATTTTCACAAGATCTGGTAAAAGATCAGTGAAAGAAAGTATTTGACTACAGTGTCCTGTCATACTCTTACACCGTTAAATATTCTGTTTCACAGCAGAATAAAAGTGTTTTTTAGTAGTACTTTTTTACTTGATTTTTGTGCTGTCACAAAAATATCCACCATCTACTCTTTAGCAGAACGTGGGCTTCATTAATTTATAGTCAAAAACCTTTGGCTTACTTTTACTTGACTTCCTCCCTCAGATAAATTATGTCTCAGTTCCTCCTTTTTGGGATAATGTGTAGAAATTGCTCTAAACAGTCACTCTTCGTTTAGAATGGGGCATTAAAATACCTTTCACATAGAGTTAATCACACTAAATAGTACCTCTTTATTATATTTAGAAGTATTATCAGTCATTTCATAATTCCTCAGATATGAATAACACCCCACATAACATGTGGGTTAAGGTGGGCTGATTATTTTCCATGACTTTATGACTTTATATGAAATTTGATCATCAACGTTTCTCAAACATTTTTTGGAATAGCTTACACATGATTGAAATGTGCAGAATGTATGTCCAAATGTCATAGCAGTAATCTGATAGCCCTGCTAAACTATGGAGATACTCTGTCTGTGCCGATGAAAGGTTTCTCACCTTTATATCCTGAATTCTCAAAAATGGCTGACTCAGAAGGTCAGTTTGAGAAATTATATTTGAATTCAGTTAATAAATAGGAAAACATTTGTAGGAACTCATAAACTGTAAAGCACATAGTGCGTGTGGGGATCAGATGGCCCCAGAGGACCTATGAAGAGCCCACAAAATCACACAGCCCAACAGCAAAGTGCAACCAAAACCTTATTCATCCCTCATTTTTTATTACACTTTTTTTATATAAATTTGAATATTACAATAACTAAACCTGCTATAAAAATATGTTTATTATACATGAAGTTTAAGTGAGCTCTGAATTGTAGTTCAAAGGTTAGTACTAGTAGCTCTCTATATGACTCAGTACACATCAAGTAATGCTCACTTTCAATATGATCTCTGATCTCTGGTATGGATCATTGAACCTGCATGTCAACATGGTCTCATTGGATCTCACAGCATTTAACTATAATTTTTTACAATAAATATCTGTATTTTCACATTACAAGATCTGATTACATTATTTGCAATATAGTACTGTAATTGAATGTTCTACTGTGATATTGATGTTCGCACTATAGATTATTGTAAACATTACTTTTCAAAAACTTCCCAACATTTTAAATGTAAATCTTTATTGTTCCACCATGGGGAAATTTACTCTTTTTTAAATCCATCCCTTTGGGGAGCAGTGGGCTGCCACTGTTGGCACTTGGGGAGCAGTCTGTGGTTAAGGTTCTTGCTCAGGGACCTAGAGTGGCAACTAGGCCCCCCTCCAACTACTCCACCCACTCCGGTAAAATACTGTAATCACACCATCCTTTGTAATAACACAATACATTACAGTACAATTTGACACACCCAATTTGCTAGTTTGTAAAGAGTCTAGGCTTTCAGTTAGAGTTGTTCTGATATCAATGCCAGCATCTAAAATGTTGCTAATACTGCTCAGAATGCTGTTATCTATAATGGAGCTCAGGTACCAATCCTATATCTATTTGATTAACCTAAAATCTATTTACTGAATAGCTCTATGTGCTGCCTTCTGCTATTTATTAGGGATGAAGAAGAACTGATCACCCGAGTTTAAGGATTTAACAGGGTTTAACCTGAGCCAGACTTTACCACCATTATGGCCAAATTACAGTTATGCAGGTGGAATATAATTGTTTTTACAACATAGTAGTGTCTGTACTCTGTGTTGGCACATCGGAACATCTCTTTCATTACTACAGTAATTTCTTTCTTTGGTGATTGATTTACTTACAAGGAAACTGAGTGTAGAGGATGTAGCTTGCAAAAATCAAAGATGAATTTATGTAAAACTGAGAGCTGTTCTTTTTGTTTATTGTTTACAGGTACTTCTTGGGCTTTAACCCTGAAGCAGGATCGAAGTCAAGGAGAAAGTCTACCAGCCCACCTGTGAGGACACCGGGCCGTCAATTGATCGACTTTGAATGAAAGATGTGAACGTGCAAAGTAAATAATTGTGTTGATTTTCAGCTCTGTCAATATATTTGTTGTTTTATTTCTTTTACTTTGTGTAATAAAATTGTCAGTGGTCTTGGTGTTTGTGTTCAATGATCCTGAAGCAAATTCACAGCATGTTTTGATTAAATGTGAGATCGATGCAATATTTTTACAATATTTAAGTAATTCGCTACTGAGTTTTTTTATTTTTACAGTAAAAATATAAAAATCCTGTGATTTATATGTTGTAACATACTGTGATTCCAAAGCAAAATACAGCTATTTCATAATAATCACTGTAAAATTACATGTGGCTTTTATTTTGGTGGAACCTACTGTGAATATATGTTATATATATTTTCAGTAAAATACTGTGATACATTCCCTGTTGTTTACTGTGAAAATACTGTGAAAGTAATACAATCATTATCCAGTATTTTACTGTGAAATCATAGTGAAAACGTTAACAGTGCAGGTGATTAATAAGTTTAAAAAAAGAAAGAAACCATGCAATATAGACATCACCACAATAAGCTATTGTTGCAAATACATTATACACAGTTCATTATATATGCACTGATCAGAAAAATTACACTTAATAAATTACTACATAGGCAGGATTGGGGTTTAGATTCAAATCAAAATCAAAAGCTGTTTGAGTTTCAGCAGCATATAAAGTAAGATAAGAAACATTAATCATATGCAGATGTACCCCTATCTCTTTAAATGTTTTCATTTCAAAATCTTCAAATGACAGCATAACATGCACAGAAACAAGTCTGAATATGCCCATCCACAGTGTGAATGTTCATTGCAACAAGTTCAGTTGTGGCTTGAACCTCCTATCCAGATACATTCCAGCGGAGAAAATCTGCAGGAACAAGACTGTTGAACAGAGAAGTCAGGAAAAAAGGGATGAAAGCAGGACAGAGACGAGCCCAGGAGGAAAAGGAAATAATATTTAAAAAGAAGAAAAGGAGAACATGGTGTTCCAACACTACTTGCTGATGCTGCTATTGGTCAGCGACCATGAACTTATTACAGGTAGAGTTCAGCAGGAATCTAGGGATTAGTTGGATTTTTTTTACATCTTAAATAAGTAAAGTTTTCTCTTGTGTTCTTCTTCCTCTGTGTTTGTAGTTTTTGAGGATGTAGGAAAACATGACTGTCTTGCAGCAGCTCTTGCTGACTGGCCTCTTCTGGCCCTGAACTTGTTGCAATGTGTGCTCTCTGGAATTCATTAAAAAAAAAAGAAAATCCTGCATGGATGACCTGATGACAATACAGATATGATTATTTATCGGATGGGCCGTGATTCTAGACCTGCATGAACTTCTTTAGAGATTTGTTGTAAGATTCAGCCAACAATATGGTCAGGAAAGCCTGAACTACTCTGAGGGTTGTTGGTTTTTTTTAAGCAGCTTACAGAATCTCAAACCTCAGTGAATACAGGATTAAGACTGACTAATTTTTTTTCATGTTAGAACTTTTTTAGCAGTGGTTACAGCGTTCAGCCAGATGCTTCTATGATGGAGGTCAATGAAAAGATATTTCATCAGTTCTGAAGGTTTTTATTGAGAAGAATACACCAACTTTATTCAAAAGATTTAAGTGTTTTTCAATTCCCTGCAGGAATGAATATTAGCCTCTAGGCCAAATCCTGATTAATTTTAGTTTAGTTTAGTAATTTTTTGGTTTATTAGTTTATTTTAGTAGCAAACAAAGACAACAAACAAACAAAAACAAAAAATGCCAACACAGGAAAACACATGGATTTGAAAACTCAACAGGAGTAGGTTGAAGTTGACAGAACTTATGAAAAACCCACTCCTGACTTATCATACATGAAGCTGCAGTTAGATTTTCACCTTACAAAAGCTATTTACAGTTTAACTCTTTATAGATACCAGGTATAAAGGGTGCATAGCATCTGTTTGTATGCCTGTATGATAGTACATATTATGCATTTGAAAAGTTGAAAGGAAAACAAAAACATTTACTAAGCACTTTCATAGTCCTTTGATGGGTCCATAATACCACTATTATATTATTTAAGATCGTACGAATGGAAGAGGAGTAAAAAAAATACATATTCACCAACCATTTCATCAGTAATTTTGATAGGTATATTATACCACCTATTTAATCGTTTATGATTGTCCAAATTACAAAAAGAAAGTAGAAATACAAAGCATTTACTGCATATACCAGGCATTCCCTGAATTTTTAGGTTCATAATGCCACCTATTTTATTATTTAATCATTGAACAGATGATAAGCGTAGAAAAAGAGATGAAATGATGACCTGCTGTGTCCATGCATTATCAGTGATTGGAGTTTAAGTTTGTAAAGTTCACCATTTGATTAGATATAATGACTAAACTTTTATATTAAATTCCATCTTTTTGCTTGCTTTAGCATTTCAGTCTCTCACTAATGTGTGCTTTGATAAGAGGTCATTTATTTAAAAAAAAAAATTATTTTAGGTCAGAATCTAAACTTTTCTGTTCCATTTTCTTGGCCTGTTCTGCAATATTGTCAAACAGGCCATTTTGTTATCCTCTTAAGCAGACAAAATTCTGGCATTTTCTACCCTTTCTTGGCTCATCAGAAGCTTTAGTTGCAACTGAGTAATGGAATAAACCTTGCTGGTGTTTTTGCTGCAGAGCAGATGCAAAATGTTGAAGTAAATTTACTGTTTAGCAACTAGATGGTACAGTAGAGCCATCAGACAATCTATGTAGATTTAAACTTTATTGAGTTCTACAGTATAAGAGACTAAAAACAAAACAGAAGAGGCTTTTCTTCTATGCTTTGATTTCTGACTAATATTCTGCAGTAATGGATGTAGTTAAAATATATTTTTCATATTGGATTCGTTGGATTACCCGTTAAGGTCATATAGAGGAATGTTTGTATACAAAGTCTTAACAATATTAGAAACTTCTTATTCAGGATTGTGGTTAAAATTTTCTCTTGCTTTCTTGTTTTCTATTAACAGAATTACTCAACACTTTATTATAGCATAATGCATTGAACTGATTATATTAGGTTTGTGCATCAAAGGTAGTGAGAGTCGATTGAAGCGCTGAATATATTATTTGTTTTCAAATTCTCCGTAAGCTCTCTAAAATATAATTTTGCATCCAAACAGTCCTTAGCTATTGCACACATTAACATTGCTATGAAGATTACATTTTGCAGACCGGCATAATACTTTTGATCTCCATCTGAATTGAGCTTTTTTTTTCTTTTTTTTATAGGTAAATTCTCTTTTTTTTTTAGTTCTGTTTCATTATTTCTATTAGTGCTCTTAGTGCTGAGCTGATCTGTTTGTCTCACTTAAAGCTTTGTTTCTCAATACAAAACTAAATATTTATGAATATCGTATGTAGATAAGAAAAGAGACCAATAAAGGTAAACATCAAGAAAAACTGCAGGGAATAAATCATGGTTTATATTTGCTGTGCATTATTTCAACTAACATTTCTTTTCTTTTTTTCTTGCAGGTGGCGGAATTAGCATCAGTCCTTTTATAAAGCATTATGAGGTCTTATCATATGACAGAGGGGATCTCCACAGGAAGCACTTAAGGGCCAGGAGGGACACACAACCTCTTGAATATACACTGGATTTGAATTTTACTGCTTTTCATCGGTAGCTTCTCATTTCATCTTATTTTTTGCATTATTTATATCTCAGATAGTGGAGGGAGAACTATTGGTTTTATCATAAAAGAGCACAATCATTGAAAAGACATAACAAAACCATTTCAATGACTAAGATTATCATTTAAAACTGAAACTGAGACATGGAAATCAGTTGCTTTAAAAAAAATTTATTTCAATTTTTTTATAAAAAAAAAAAACATTATATTTAAAAAGGTTTAAAGTTGCAACACAGTCCAGATATGAGGTGCAAGGAAAACAGCAGAGAGATCTTCAATGAAGTTTTTGAATTTGTATGATTGTAATGGCTAAAATGATGAGTAACATGGGAGGTAAGCAGAATTTTAAAGTCTTAAAAACCTTAAAGTTAACAGTCTACATGTATTAACATTAACTTATGCTACTGGTTAGTTATCTGTCAGTTGATGATAGATTGGCAGGCTTAACATTTACCTTACAAGGCTTTGACCACATCTGCAAACTGTGTTTTGTTACAATCAGAGATTTCCGTCTGCTATTGAGGCAGGATCCTGGTGGGTTTTCAGAAGAGTTCACGGTGGTCAGTGAAAATGGCCCAGCATTGGCGGACCTGTCCCACTTATACTCAGGAACAGTAGAAGGTTAGTAGCCTCCAGACCGTTTAATGGAACAACTAACCCAAAATAAGGACAATTCAGATGAATAAATAAAACATTAAGTTGGATTTTTATTTCCAGCAGAAGCGGCACAAAAGGAAAGTAAAAATTAAAAAGAAGAAAAAGTTAGGGTAAATATTTAATCTACAGATTTCAGATGAAATATATAGATAAAGATGTTTACATTGATGGACTAACATAAACATGCATAATATTTAACAAGATTATTCTCCAATACTTGTTTGGTCAAATAGCACTCCTTCAATCAATATATCTGTGTTACTCCTCACCATCTCTCTGATGCTATGTTGTTTCTTCCCTTGATTTTCTCTGCAGGAGAGGATGGATCGTCCTGCTACGGCTCTGTATTACAGGGACAGTTTGAGGGAACCATCCATACCACCAATGGCACTTACCACATAGAGCCTCTTCACAGATACACCAACAGCATAGCAGATCATCACTCCATCATTTACCAGGAAGAGGATCTGGGTAAGGCTGATCTTATTCAAGTGGAAAAGCTTAAAAGATGCTTAGAGGGTCTGCAGCAGGTCTGATCTATGTGCAACAGGGGAGAAAATGTATCCAAACTGCTGTCAAAACTCTTTGCAGGTGACGTGAAAAAATCAGAATAGAAATGATTAAATATAATTTATGATCAGCTGCATTCTTGCTGGTCTCATCGGAAGAGAAATAAACAGATTAACATTCCCCCCACCCCCCCCCCCTTGTCGTTACGTATGTACATGCAAAGAAAGAGTATTCATACTTCTTAAACTTTTTCACTTTTTTTCACATTACACACAGATTTCATCATTATTTTCATAGTCTTACTTGACAAAATGTGTAAAGCAATTTGAGTATTTGTGTTGTATGCCAACTGTTCCTGCATTAGGAAGAGCTTCCAGCCTGATCAGGGCTATTGAGGGCCAATGTACTTGGTAGTAGAAGACTTACAGCGTGCCAGCAGTGCTTCCTGAGGGCTCCAAGTGGGTTTTGAGGTTTTCTCCACATGGACACTAGCCAAAGAAAACATCAACTGTAGATGGTGTGATTTTTGTAGGAGGAGGGGATGAGGTTTGAGGAAAATAGTTGTAAAGCGGTTTAGAGGATCAAGAGGTAAAAAACATTTAAATGTGATTAGTTAGATACATAGAAATGTATTTATCTCACTATGGCGAAATTTGCTCGTGATAAAAAGTAGAGTGGTATGTAATGGTTCTGAGAGTTTTCAAGGTTTTAAAGATTATCTAAAACAGATTCTAACTTGTAGTTCTTTTCATGATTTATCCAGATGAAAGCGATTAGGAATAATCAAAATCTGGGAGTGCATCTGCTTTAGCGTGTGTGTGATTCTTTGGCTGCACATGCATGTTTGCATTAGTATAACCTGAGCTCTAAGAAAGCATTTACTGGAAAAGCAGTGAAGGCTGTGCCAGAACTCCCCTCAACTCCCACGTTTGTCCCTCAGTCTGCTCTCCATCCACCCTACTTCCCACTCCAACCAGAACGTCTTCATGCTAAGGTATAGTAAAAAACCTCGCTTTGGTTCGCCAGAGACATCCTGTTCCCTTAGCTGGAGGCAGTCTGCAGGAAACTGTAAAAGATGGACCATGTGATACTACAGTAAACAATCGATGCTTCCATAGAGAATGTAAGATTAGGTCTCAAGATGGTGACATAATGTGTGTATTTTGACTTCCTGCAGTTGTCCTCTGGAGGACTCAGTTTTGATTGAGGAACTTCAGTTTTCCCGAGGGAGGCTGGATGTCATGCAGTCTGTTAAATCTGGAGCAAAGGCCAATGCAAAAATGGACTGATACCTGGATGGATTAAACTCAAACCAAAAAAGACTCTTTAAAATATTCAAAATAATTGTAAAGAGTATTCATAGTTGAGATAAAACAAACAAGTAATGCAGAAAACATGTTACTAGTAAAGTATCCTGGAGCATTTTCTGTTTTCATACAGATCCAACGTGTCTATTGCATAACATACTTTCTTGATCCCTCTCCAACTCATTTAGTTTCGATATGATTCCTTTAGGAGACTCCATTTTGACCAAAAGGCGACGCGTTGATGCTTATTATTGTAAACAGTTATCTAAGCTACTTGGTACTAGATCAGATTGATTTTGCTGGATACATTTTAAGCCTGCTATGATTCTCCAGATTCATTTTAAAGAGCAAAGGCAGCAAAACCTACAGATTTAAAAAATTCTGATAAATCAAATACGGTAATTTGTATTATTCTTTTATTGCAAAATGAAGAGAGGAATGTACCTTGTTTTGATTTAATAGAAAACATTAATTAAGCTTTATCATCAGGATGACATTATTGCAGATGGAAATGTGAAAGCTGAATGTTGGAAATATGGGATTTCTGTTCAATCAGAAGAGCTTAGAAGATACAGGGTATACAAGAAATGTTGCTTTTTAATACAGAGATCCAAATTGGGCCTGAATGTCTAATTAAATCGGCCTTTTATTGGTGTGTTTGAGCCTGTTCACTTTTTGTCAAGAATTATACAAAAAATAAAGGTTTAAACAGGGCCTAACATTTTTGACAGCTATTCGCTTCTGTATTATTTTTAATAAAGAATTATTCACCCATCCATTTTCCATCATGCTTATCTCAAGCAGGGTTGAGAGGGGTGCTGGTGCCTGTCTATGGGCGAGCTGTCTATGGGCGAGAGGCAGGGCAACACAAAGACAAACAGGACAAACTACCATTCACGCACTCCTAAGGAGAATTTAGAGAAACCTGTAATCAACCTAATAGTCATGTTTTTGGACTGTGGGAGGAAGACGGAGTACCCGGAGAGAACCCATGCATACTCAGGGAGAACATGCAAACTCCAAGCAGAAAGACCCCAGGCGGGGAATCGAACCCAGAAGCTTATTGCTGCAAGGCAGCAGTGCTACCCACTGCATCACTGAGCAGCCCCCATTTTGCTATTCAGATAAATAAAATAAAGCAAGGGAATTTGGTACCTCTTTTCTTTGTAGAATTATTTTAATTCAAAAACTTGGGAGAATTTGAAACATAACTGGCCTGTTTAAGCTCCTGCATCAGCATCTTAATCAGGTTTAATTTTAGTTATTCAGCTTAACTTTCACTAGGCTTCTCAGAATCCTTTTTTATTTCTATGTAATTGCCCTTTATGAGCTATGCCTGAAAACACAATCTGATGGTCAGATATTATCTTTCAGGGTTTTAGAAATTATGTTTCATGTTATGGGATATGTGTTGGTACTGAGATTGCAAAGCGGTCCTAAACCATTACCCTATCAACACTGTGTTTAACCACTAGTAATATGTTTTTTTTTTGTTATTTCATATTCAAATGCTAGGTTACCTTTATTTAGAGTTATTAACGTGCAAACATTTTGTTTGACTTTTTCTGTCGTCTTCAGACGTTATCAATGAAGTTTCTGCAGCTGCCCATAGACAACTGAAATGTCTCCCAAATAAAAGTGTCATGATCAGCTGAGACAAAGATGAAGCTATTTGTTTATATTCACCAGTTTTACGTCTTTCCTCCTATAACAGAAAATCCACATGTTTGCATCGATTTCTCGTCAAAAAGAAAAGCTCAAATTGAAAAAGACTATCCCTTAAATAAAAAATAAGCCAACTAAAGCACATTTTTTATCCAACCCAACATTAACCTTTTGGTTGTTCAGTTTAACAGCTGTGTAAATACTCTTTCACCTTCCTTTCACTTAAATTAATAACATTTGCTGCTTGCTATGCTTGGGAAAGGGTTCAGCCACTTGTTACCCTCTGTGTGTTTTGCAACAACAAAAAGCTGATCAGTGTTTTGGGTTTGTTCCCAACCATGTTTGCACCCAGCCATGGAACGATTGTGTGTGCATCAACCTGATATTGATCAATGTGTAAGGCCTCTTCCTATAAAAAAAAAAAAAAACTCTGCGCTATGAGGCGGTCAACCTCTGTAATACATGTCAACATTAAACTGTAGTTTCATTTGGAATTATCAGAAAATAAGACTGAGAAAGAAACAAAGACACTTATTTTTATGCAGTATGCAAGTACTTAAACTCACAGCTATGAGATATGGGTGGATTAAATGATGAGCCATAAATTCAGTTATATCGTTATTCTGGGGGGATTAAAGAGACAAAGAGTTTTTTTTTGTTTTTGTTTTTTTTTTACACTGGCTACAGATCATCATTAAACACTGCATAACAGAGTTGATTCTTAAAAGTTTGGTGAAGCAAAGCTGATTTGAGACTGGGTTTGGCATCTGCTTTCTGCACCATGCTGCTCAGCAGGAACAGTTTTCAACAGCTGCTGGAAACATGACTCCTGCGGCTCAAATGTGACTAATTCCTCATGTGGGAGAAATCATCTTTCTTTTAAAATTAAGAGAAAAAACTCTATTCCTTAAATAATCTCGGATTGACGCTGCGGTAACACCATTCAGGTTTAGAGGAGGTTTTCTGCCGATGTTGAAATGTCTGATTTCTTTGAAATGCAGAGAAATATTGAATTCCTGTTGCACAGAAAAAAGGGGGATATGCTGACAAAGGCAGGGTATGAAAATAGACATGAAGAAAGGTCTGGAAGCAATTCTGGGTAGACACCCAGCATTTAGGGCCTACACTTCCAGCCCCTTCCCCCACCCAGGCCATACATAGATCTTACTGTGGGGTCTGTGATTGGCTGAGGCACTTCAGGAGGATGGTGTGATTCAATTATGTGCTGCTTTGTCTGTGGCTGAATGTAAAAGGTCAGAAAGACAGATTCACAAACTCTTTGAATAGTTTCTTGTATTTCATGGTTACATTTTAAAATACATTTACTGCTTCATAACTCCTCTGCATCATACCGAAAGATAACGCTTAGCTCCTCTGATTTATTATTGTATGGACATGTTTCAAAATGTTGCACTTAACTGAAAAAAAAATGCCTCTCAAACCTTGTACATTACCCTGATAAAATATGTTGCAAAATCATTTGACCTCTTGCTTTTTTGTGAAACCCTTCTTCATGACTGCAGTCTCCTCATGCTTGCATCAGTTCGAAATGAAACAGAAGTCTCTAAGGTATTACAAATCACAGACAACAGCCTGTTCGTGAAATTTACCCAAAAGCATCTTCACAGATTGATCCACCAGAACTTCTGCTCCATGGTCTGCTACAGTACACTGATTTCATAATGCTCGATTTCAGTTTCTGAGAATGTGAGGAGGAGGATATCTGCTTGCAAAGGATGTCATGTTTAGCATGTTTATAGAGTCAAATCTATACATTTATAAGTCACATTATGAGGAACAACATGTTTGTCTTTATAACAGCCTTGATTTTCACAAGTAAAGCAGATTTATTGGTTGCTCATACATGGTGAAAGTCTAATAATCCCACATGTGCTCCGTTGGGTGGTCAAATTATTCAACATTTAAACACCAAAACATTTTAAGACTCGACTTTGTTCCAACATAATTTTAAAATCACCCTTCTTCATATTTTTTAGTTGTTACAACACAGACACTCCACTCTACTCTCTCGTACCTGGTAGTTGAAATAAAAACATTAAGCTGATGTAGAAAGTTTAAAACTTCAGTAACACCACAAGTTTCCACAAAATACCCTCTTGCTCATTTAACTCACCTTTCCAATTCTGCCTGATTTCTCATTACCTCATCTGATCCACCTGCTCCTGCTTCTATTCAAGGTGCCTGTATCCAGTAATCAGGGCCAGATTATTCTTGTTCTCTCTAGCCAGTGGTAAGAGTGTTTTTGGATGATTTGATGTTTCTGATTTTCTTATCCTGACCTGTTCTGCCTCTCAACCCCTGAGCCTACCCGTTCCCATCAGAATGGTTTGCCTGAACTGTCTTTGGACTCCTGGATCTCTGAGCCTGTCTGTTCCTGTTCTGGTCTTTTTGCCTCTGTTTGACTCTTGCATGTTCTGCTGGGCTTCAACATCTGGCACACTCTGGCCAGCGCCCGCTGCATCTTGTTGGCAGCCCACCGGCTGGATCCTACCCCGTTATCTGGGCATGGACTGAACTTGTAAACCAGGGTAGTGACTCACATGGATAATCATCCTCCATCAGAGTATCATGGTCATTAACCTGTGTGTCTCTCCTCGAGAGGTTCCAGCCTCAGATTCCCTAGCTGCTGCTACTTAGATCCGCTAGTTTTAAACAAACGCTTTTTTATTAATCCCACTGTCTGTCTTGAATGCTGGGTCCTCTGCTCTGAGTCATGACACCCTTTATTATCATTTTTACAATAATTTTTTGCAGACAAGGCAGAATAAATCTACAGCAACTGGCTAAGCGTCTCAATGAACAACACTGATGTTAATGAGTAATTTGAAAATGTCAGCAATACCCCAGTTTCAACATCAACAAAGTATTAACTATCCAGATTGCTAATAATTAAACATATATATTTAACTATAAAGGTCTAAACAAGGCTGTAGTAACAAGAATCTGCTTTAGGACCTGATTTAACAATCAATTACACTGAAAAAACAAACTCCTCTACCCTTTCTGAGGAAGTTTTGGACCTTATTAAGCAAAATGTTTAATAGCATTTCATGTAAAAACTGTAAAGTAACCTAACCATAATGTTATAAATCTTGTATGTAATCATCTAATAAAAATATATATATATTTGTCTGAAAAACGTGCTTGCCTTATCCCAGACATAAGGAGAATGCAGGACGCTTTTCATATGTGGAACAGAGTATTTCCTGCAGCTCCTTCAGGCCTGTTTGGCAGCTTTACTGACCAGTTTCCAACTGTTTTTTGGGGCAATTATGAAGAACATCCAGTTTATCTAATAACATCTTTAGTGATCCTTGTTAACTCTGCCAAATCTGCAAATATTAAAGAAATCCTTTTTGCTTAACCAGACCCACTAAAATGAACAGTAGGCAATAGTACATTCAGACAGGTTTGTATCAGTTAAATGTGCAGGAAATCAGAGCTAGAAAACATTTACATTGAAAATTCTGGCATTTTAGCAGAGGTGTTTGTTCCCTCTTGCCTTTGTGTACATTGCTGTGTCTTTTATTAGATAAACAATGTGCAATTTAAACTGGATGGGGAGAGAAAATTAAAAACTGACACAAATCAAAAACATTTTCAATATATTTCGTTTTTTTTTTTTTTTAAACAGAGCTTATAACACTGATGCTCAGAGCCGTATTATATACCATTCTGCTTTTGTTTTTACTGTTCCTTTGTTTGTCTCCATAAAGAGAGTTTTAGCAGAACCGCCTTTCTCTTTGATGAGTTATTCGTGTTTTCTTCGTGGCTTGTGAGCATTAACTTTTAAGAATGTTCTGGCTGATTTGTGACAACAATAGGAAAACAGAGGAGAGAAAATATTTCCACATGTGTGCAGCTTTAAACATCTGTATTTTTCTCTCTCCAGTTCTTCCACACATGATGTCGCGCACTGATGGATTCTGCGGTTCCAATCATCTTAATGCCCTCACTGAAAAATTCAGCCAGGTACAAAAAGAAGCTGCCTGACTTTCTCTCTCTCTTATTTTCTCATTACTGATAAGATTTCCTCTTATAAAACTTCTAATACTATTTATAACCAAAAAAAAAGCACAACTCATTGATGAATAAGTGAGGTCATTCACTTGTGGGTCTGATTCATAATTTTCACCTGATTTATTAACACATATCATTGGTCACATTCATTACCCCTAATGATTCATAAAAGTAAAATGTGTGCAATGGCTGCAGCAGGATGTTGTGATACAGTCATAATAACGTGTAAGATACAAAGCAGCGATCTGGCTCCTAGCAGAGAAGCTTGGCTGTGTTGCAAGACGATGAAAGGAACTTTAAAAAAAAAACATCTGCCATATGTATTTGGCTAATATCCCCCCTGGGTTCACTTTTAATCATTAACCTTTGACCAACATGAGGGAGGCCCAGCATCTATTGTGAAGAGTGGATGCTGGACATTGCTGTAGATCCATTTATAACAACATGCCTGCTGATGGAGATCATTTCCACTGTTTGGTTATGAAATATCCGGAGCAGATGTTTTTTTGTTTGTTTGTTTGTTTTCTTTTCTTGATGAATGAACAAGACATTTTCCTGCCAATACTGATCTGCAAGTGGGCAACATATTTCGATTCATTTTTACCGCCAAAAAAAAATTATATCAATTGATTGAATCTGAACTGAAACTAATGGTATATCATTTAAAAAAAAATCAATGTCTCCAAGTAGCTCCAAGCAGAAATTTGTGGTTCTTAATGTTATTTGTTTTACTCCCACAGGAGGCACCAGTGAGCCGTACGAGGAGAACAGTTGATGAGTCGAAGACTAGCTGTCTGCTCCACCTTCATGCTGACTACCTCTACTACAAGAAGTTCAAGTCTGTTGAAGCTGTTGTTGCTCAGGTTAAACATCTAGATTCACATGTTTTATATGTTTCTTTCAGGTTGTAGAAGGACTCAACCAAAAAGGACTTCTTATATTCTTGTAGTTTTAAGTAGAGATTAGAGAAGAAAATGACTCGTTTATGTATTTCTGTCAGTAGAAATACTGCAGTACTCAGGCTCCAATGAAAGGAATCACTTCTTCAATTATTTATTTTATATTCTTATCGGTCCGACAAAAATCCTTTATAGCAACATATTTAGCCTTACTGTCTTATTTTAAATTTAATGTCTATAGTGTCTGTTTGCAGTCAAATAGATCAACTTCATGAGGAAAAAATAGAGGTTTTTATGTTTATGATATGGCTCTCTGCCCTCGTTGGAAAACACTGGGGGCGCCACAAGAAAAAACAAAAAGTTATTCATCCGTTGGTGCCCAAACTTGCCTCTTATTTTGGTTTTCACTCAACAGTACAAGTACAATTAAAAAGTTAACGGTATCTGAGGCCATTTACAGTAAGTTTGTCTCTGAGCTTCTGTCATCACTGAAAGTCTTAAAATCTGATCAGATCTAAGAATTTGATTCTACACTTTTCAGAAAATATATATAAAAAAACAACAATGTGATATAAATTTTTTTTTCCGAATTATGCAATATAGACATTTTCAGTGCTTTCTTGTCACCGACAGCACTTTCGATTAAGACACACTTGAAATCACTACATACAAAATAGGATGATTAAACCCGGAGCTCTTATTTATCTTATTCCTCCAAGTCTTATGAAAATAAGTATAACATTGGTGAAATTATCACCTTTGCACTTCTTTTTTTTTTTTTTTACTTTTACGGAACACCTTTGCACTTTTTACTGGAACTGAACAACAGTATCACTTAATATTTTAGTTTATGACAGTAACTTCACAGATTTAAGTGACCTTTTCTCTCTGAATAATGTTATGATTTTGTCCTTGAAATGCGTAGAAATAATCCCAATAAAGAGTCTTACTATTTTTCAGACTTATTAATTGCAAACATTTATAATTAATTTATCTGAATATTTATCTAATTTCTAATTGAGAACTGAACAGCCAACCTAATACATACTTTTGGATATGATAATTTTGAACAAAATGAGAAAGTCAGGTTATCCCCTGCAGTTTTCTTGTAGCCAGACTGAGGGTTTCCGCTTCATAGTCTGTGCTTTAATAAAATCATCTGGACCTCTTCATATTCTTTCCACCTCACTTGTTGTTGCTGGTTGAGAGCCAGACTCCTGTTGGGCCTGGCCAAAGAGTATTAGGTAAGCGAAGCTGTAATAGAGTATAAATAAACAAACTGCAGTTTACAGTCTCTACTGACCTGATTTCAGCTGCAGATCTTTACATTTGTGGAAAATTCCCACCAGGCTCTCCAGTTCATACATATCCTGCAGTAAAGAGACAAACATGTGACGTGTTTGCACGTGCAGCAATGAAAGTGGGACAAAAGGTTTCAGCAAGACTAAAGCCCCTGGATGATAACAATCTTTTAGAGATTACATGGTGGTCTGTTTGGTTAATAGGGGTTACACTGTTAGAAGCATTTAATGTTCCACCTACAAAGTTTTCTGCCTCTGTTGCTTCTCAGTCACTCAGGGTCATGGCAGATGAGAAAAGAGAATAAAAAGCAACAATTTTTAAAAATGCTTCTTTAATTTTTTTTAGTCAAGAGCTCCTGGTTTGAATATGTGGATCTGTGTTGTTTGTGTTGCCTTTCATGATGTTGACACATTTATGTCCAGTTAGGCCCACTATCTTGGTCTCTTGTATTCCATTTACACTAGCCTTTTGAAACCATACCAGACACAACTGAACCGCCCTAATATGGTACTAGTTTATCAGTAGGGCTCGGTGCGGTTCAGTTCTGGCACGGTTCTCAGATAACAAAGAGAGCATGAGAAGAACGCCCCATCTCCTTACAGTCAGCCTCCGTAATCATGAAATTTCAGACATTCATGAAAATACTAGCCTCCCAACCTTGCCACACGAATTGCAGTGATGATTCTGCTTAGCAGTGTGATGAACCTCAACCTCTGTTGTTGTTCCTGCATGTTCCTGATTAGATGATCGTTTGTCGTATCCACTTCCCAAAAGCTGATTGGCAAGTAATTTGACAAATGCTGCAGAATGAGCCACACTGGCTTGTTTGCACATGCATGTTCCATCAATAAAAAAGATGTGGTGGAAATGTGTTGTCTTCATTGCATAAACCTTCTTGAGCATAGTCCTTAAAAAATATGAGACTTAAGTCACAGGAGGTTTAAAGTTGGTCTGCCACTCACTTTTGATGCCCGTTTTGTATCATTTCACTGTCCAAATACCCATATTGTCAAGTTTCAAGCATCTAGCCTTAGATCTGAGATAAAGATCAAGGTGAAGAACTTGGAGGTTTTCCTGCTTGTTCAGTTTTCTCTTCACCTTTTGCACTGCAACAATATCCATGATGCCTTCCTACTGTATGCAAAATATAACAATTATAACCAAAAATAACTTCCTGAATGTTACAGGGGCCACCATTTGATTTGCTTGATTCCCTCCTTCAATCCTTGAGAACAATTGTACCTGAGATTGTCACTAGGAGGGAAGGAACCATGCTAGCATGGTATGTAAACAGTCATATGGTCATATGGAACCAAACTTAGCACGGATCAGTTTCAAAATGATGGATCTTGAAGTCACTTTAGATCCTAAAGCAGGTCCTACATGCTTTCCTTAAAGAAAGACATATGAAATCCTCATTTCTGGGTCAGTTATTGTATTTTTCTTTTATTTGTCTGGAAAAAAAACCTTGATATACATCGCTCTCTCTTAAAAAAATGCTCATTAAATTTGCCTCATAAATGGATCTATTCGAATCTTTTTGTAGATTTTGCTTTCTTTTCAATGAATTTAAGAAGTAAAAGAGAACGGACAAATACTTTCTGTCTCTCCTGTTTCCTCTTTCATTTTAATCCCGGATTCCACACAAAATCTAGCCTGACGTAGTCCGACTCAATTCTAGTCAGAATATGAGTCTGATACTGCTCCATAGAGCTGTGATTATGGGGCGTGTTTTGAACGAACCAGGAAAAAAATGCCTCTGTACTCAATTGGATAGACCTACAACCAATAAGAGCAACGGAGTGCGTGACGTATGTTAAGCGAGGCATAGTTGTTGTCCACAAAAATCAAAGCGTGCAGTTTCACGCCTAGAATAAGAAGATGAGCCTTGATCGCGTTTCTCTGTTCCTCTTTTAAAATTAATTTGCTGTCAATATCTTCTAGAACAGACCTAATAGCAGAATCTACTCACCCAAACTCTCCAGCGGCAGCCATTATTGTTGTCACCCAAGCGCGCTTTGGTCACATGGTTGATAACGTTACTCTTGATCATCTGTCCATCATCGTATAAAGCCCGCCCTGACAATTTGATTGGATCGCCTGACAGTGGGCTTTAATACTCGCGCTACTATGGAGCAGAGCCAGACCGAACTTCCCCGAACTCAAACCTTGTGGGCGGGACTAAGTTCGGACTGGCACCCAGGCTACACAAAATCCTGTAGTGGGTTTTAAACCGCTCCTTGGACACCTGGTATCTTAAATGGAGGTTTTACTAAATCTGTCTAATCAGTGATTATATTTTATATTAGTACATTCTCACCGCCATTTTTAAACAGTAAACACCAGTATATGTTTTATATTTTGGTTTCTTTTTCAAAAACAAAGAAGAACATTAGACCCACTTATGCATCCTTTATAGTGCCTGTCCTTTCAGGATCAGGGGCTGAAAAACAGAGACAGACCATGAACAAACACATTTATACCAGAGGACCATCTAAACAGGCCAATTCAGTCATGTTTTTGGACTGTGGGACAGGAGGTTAACCCACTCATCCGCATTCAAACACAGGCTAATAGAGGATGTTTTGCGTGTTACTTTTTCACTCTGCAGTCCAAATTTTCAGTAGGGAAGACTTGATGTTAAAGCACCTGAAAATTCAATACTGCACTGCCCTTTGAAATATAGCGATAGATGCATTAATCAACTACTTATTTGAACTTGCGGCAGTTTATCATTAATTGCTTTGTTTCCATGATACTAGAATAGAATAGAATAGAATAGAATAGAATAGAATAGAATAGAATAGAATAGAATAGAATAGAATAGAATAGAATAGAATAGAAAATCCCACAATGGGAACTTATGGTGTTTCCATCAGCAAAAAAATTAAAGAAGATTATACTGTACAATACTATAGAAATTGCTTCATCAGTGCCTTAATACATAAAATTGAATATTCTATTATTAGTCAGTAAATAACTAAAATATCCACTATTTAGCAAATTATAAAGGCTTTCCCTCTTACAACAGGAAAATGGTTTGTTAAGTGGTTAGCCTGGCCAGTGAGACTGACTTATATGGAGCATAAGACAGTCAGGTAAGGCTGAAAATCTGGACCAATAACATCACAGCAAGCAGAATGCAACCATAACAGCCAAGATGCAGCAAAACACTGAGCAAAGTTTTAATGATGGCTTTTAATATTTCTCAAAAAACTGTCAATATAGTTAATATTTCAACAACTGGCTGCTGTTTTTTTTTTTTAAGCTAGGCTAGGGTTTGGTATTTGTTCTAAGGTTTAACTTTGCAGGTAAGTAAGCCACTTTTGTCTTTTTTTATTCTTAGATAATCTTTACTATGCTTGTCTTTTTTAATGGTCTCTATTTAAAGCGAACATGATTATTTATTTTTTTTCATTTATGATTGTGGCTTTGCATTTAACTTGCGAATAATTGATAGCAAACCCTCCTATAAGTACCATCAGTTTAGGAGCCTTGGATATGAAACACTCCACAGATGTTTTTTTTACTGTTAATTTGTTATTATTTTCTTATCTTTTTTTTTTTTTAGGTTGCCCTTTATATGCGGGCAGTGAATGACATCTACGACAAGACTGACTTTAATGGAATCAAGTTGATCAACTTCAAAATTAAGACCCTTAGAGTAAGTTTGGTGCCAAAACAAACAGTTAGGATCCTCAGGCTTGCCTGAGGATCCTAACTGCTGCAGAGTTTTCTGTGATTTCACAAGTGCAGAAACAAACAAAACCTCAAAGAACTACTGTGGCACAGCCTCTCACACAAGCCTGTCTGATTCCTAACATGCCAGATTGTTATGATGCTCAAAAATAAAAGGTTTAAAAACAACAGTTACTACATTGCGTCCTTGTCAGTTTGGCGAATTAAGTAAACCTCTGTGTTTCTCCAGGTGATGACAACACAAAACAAGAAGGATCCTCTTAATCGACTGTTTATTGGACCGGAAAGTCTGTTGAGTCTTTACTCTGAGAACAACTGGGGAAACTACTGCTTGTCCTATCTGCTCACTAACAGGGACTACAGTGGAGTATTGGGGCTCGCATGGGAAGGCAAGGCTGGTAAGCTGTATAAATAATCCAAAATTCATTTAAAGGCCGTTTGAAACTGCAAAACGGAAGCTTTAAATACAAAATGTGTGCTTTGGTTCCATTATGTGGGAAAAAAACACAAGGCATAAAAGAAACCTCCGCTCTGCTCTGTGGGGGCCTATGAAAATATACTTTGCCTCGAGGGAGATTTCATACAATGGGTTGCTTGAATAACAAGCAAAGTCAAACACTTGAGCTTCTTCCTCAGCAGGACTTTAGCCTCATGTATCAACACTCAGTGTATAATAAAACTTATTAGATGGGATTCTTGTAATGTTCATTTTGATTCCACTTTAATAGTTTGATATTTTTATTTTCATGTTTATAAGATTCTATGAACTGAACAGTTTCATTGAGGATGTTTTCTTACCAGCTGCCTAAAGTGATGGATAAAACATTAGCATATGGACAGAAAAATACCTGTTTTATTTTGTGCATCTTTTTTTTTAACTTAAAAACTAAGTAGGGAGTAGCTTAAGAGGGAAAGAGTTTTCCTCTTTCAGGGGATACTCCTCTCCGTTTGATGTTGTGGCTCCACTCTTGTGACTTATGGCTCCCATGTTGGGAGGTGTTCAGCTGGCCATGCTTGCTCTAGTGAGCATCCCTTCCTCTTGACATTCCAGGGGCTAGCTCACCAGCTGGGATGGTATGTGTTTTCACTACCATGGTCCATCCAACTTCCAGCTCCAGGAGCTGGTGCCTTGTTGGTTGGATCTCTAGGCCATCGGATGGACTGGGTCTCAGCTTGCCCTGCAAAGCAAACCATGGTTTTGTTGCATGATGAGGGCAGTTTGTTGACCTATGTCTCACCCTGTGTGTCTTTTGCATGAGGCTGCAGCTCCTAGGCTCCTACCTCAATGCATTGTTGTCATTTGTCTGTCTGCTTGGAGCTCCTACCGCCACTCCCTCACCTGACTCCCTCTGATATTTCTTGCTTTTTGATGTGTTTCTGATGCTCCCACTCCTAAAAAAAAACAAAAAAAAAAAAAAAAAAAAAAACCTGGACATATCTAGGTAACACACTCAACTCCATACACACACAAAAACACTTTCTACAAATAAACAGAGACGAGCCTGTCTCACTGTGATCAGTAGTCTGCCATGACCGCCTGGAGGTTTGAGAAGAAGGAGCAGAAAGATACAAAACCACAGGAGACATTTTCATGATTGTAGTTCCCAAACATTGTGTTCTGGGTGTCAAAACAAGCATCGCACTTATACACGTTCTTCAATTCGCTTAGGGGAGGACAGAACGTCTAAATTATAGGTGTATGGTCAACTGTGGTTGATTTTAAACATGGAATTATATTAACAAGTTTTTTTTTTAACTTGATTATTACCAGTTTAGACAAAGCATTGCATTAAACAATAATATAATTCACATATTTTAGAGCTATTAAACAGCTGTAGAAAATAACTGTCACCGACACCTTTATCAAGAATATACGGTGTCTTGATAACAGAAAAACATGTTAATAACTCACTGTAGACCAAACAGAAATGTGAGATTAATACAAAACAGAGTATCTTTAGCTTAGTAAAGTATATAATATCTTTATGTTCTGCTTCTCTGTGTGAATTCCAGTGTGAATCTGTGCAGATTTGGCAAATCAAAGTATCGTTTTCAACTCCCAGGACTCCCTGTGTCTCTTAACATAAAGAAAAATAGCTGTGGGTTGTTCTTAACATTAATTACACAAACTTTGCAGTTTTACAATTTGTATTATTCATTAACTTCTGCTCTTATGTTTCAAACATCTGTGCAAAAATGACTTGTAGAAGCTTTTACACAACTTAAGGCAAAAAAAATCAGACGAAACTGCATAATACTTGTTTTTATTAGATCATTTCATCACACTTTGGCACACAGAGCCTGAGTAAACATAGTTCAAATTTAATCCTGCTGCTCATACAGGCTTTAGCTTGAAAAAGCAGAAAAACCATGTCAGAGGACCGAATCGTCAACATTCTGTTAAGATTTGCATGAAAATCTCTTTCAGCTTTAACTGTGTCCTTCAACAGAGCATTATAAAAGAGTTCCAGTTATCTAAACATGTTTTGTTGATCTAATGTTGAAACCAAATTCAGTAGCTGCCAGATAAAATAAGACAAACAGCCTTGAGTCCAGAATAGCATTGACATTATTTCAAACAAATTCCCTCTTCTCCTGCAATGGGCCTGCATCAGGTCTGAGTTTAAGACCCTAAACACAAACTGATCAAAAACAAGCATGAAGCAACTCCACTAACCTCTGCCAGCTCTACAGAGGGGACTATCTCTCAGTGTGTAGTATTATTTCTGTGCAGGAGGAAGTTATTTTGGGACAAGTAACCTTTCAGGGACTTTATCTCATGTGCAGCTTTCTATTGGCTAAAGTGGAGGGCGTGGAATGAGGCAGACCACCACGGTGACATGTGACAAGAGTTCAACAGACCTTTGCTACCCCCCCTAAAAACACACACTCATAATCATCCTATAGAGGTTCTAGCACCTTGCTGAGGATTGATGGCTGCATTCCACAGTGTGGTTGCCATGGAGACGTCTCACATGGTTGACGAGCACTTACACACATGTTCGGTTTAACGTCAGTGGATTATGTCCAACCTTCGAAAAGCGAAACACTCTACTCACTCGGGTTTGTTAGAGGACAGGAGTAATAGCTGGTCTGACCATAAACTCAAAGACCTCAATATCTGTAGAAAAAAATAACCCCCCTGAAATAAAGAACATTTCTTTATCTTTATCAAATTGGTTCAAAGTCCGTAAGTAAACACAGTTCAATTTTAATCCTGCTACTCATACAGGATTTGGCTTAAAAAGCATAAATACCATGTCAGAGGACCCGTTCGTCAACAATCTGTTAATATTTGCATGAAAATCTCCTTCAGCTTTAACTGTGTCCTTCCACAGAGCATAATAAAAAAGTTTCAGTTATCTGTTAAATCAGGTTTTGCTTATTTAAAGTTGAAACCAAAGTCAGTAGCTGACAGACAAAATAAGACGTTGTTAAATTGCAAAAGATATTCAAAGAACATAAAGCAATGAAAATGCATTTTGTCTGCATTAGTTCTGCAACATAGATGTCAAACAAGTGAAAGAAAACTAATGTCTGAATTTATAATCCAGCAATAGGGCTGCTTTTCTGCCTTTGATAAGACCCCTTTTAAAACGCTTGCTTTAAAATTCTTGGGTGTCTCAAGATTTGCAGCTATAAGATATATTTGCTCCAACATCTATGCATCTGATGGTGTAGCAATTTAATGTGAAACCCAGCCTAGACTCACAGCCACAGTGGCCTGTGAACATGGGCAGATCTACTGTAGAGGGTGGGCCCAGGGGGGCCAAGGATTTGTTGTTCTCATTGGGATTTAATCAAGCAGTTTTCCTCTGAATCAGAGGGTGGCAGCAGTGACACCATATAAAACTGACAAACAAACAAAAAATATAGCAATTAGTTATTTACAACTATATATTTAAACTATATACAAGAATTAAAATGAACTTGTAATGAACTCAGAATGTTAAACCCAGAATTCGAGGTGAGAGAGGCAGTGGGAAAGTTCTAATCGTTAATTAACATAAAACAAACAGAAACAGAACAGGAGAGCGGGGCTGTGGCTCACGGCGACTGCAGGAAGGGGGCGGGGCTCCGCCCAATCACAAACACTCTGGTTTGATAGTCCAGTCCAGCACCGTCACCTCTCCATGAGAGGTGCGCAGGGCCAATGGGCTTCCAACCAATGCAGCATGCGTAACACAGAGTGTCCCCAATGCTGCAGCCCCACAGAGCTTGCAGGAAGCAGATCCAAGTCAGGGGAAGACAGATCAGACAGGAAGAGTAGGATCCAGGCTTCCAGGAATCCTCAGAGAGCTCAGGCAGGTTCAGAGTCCGACAGAGTTCAGGAGCGTGCCTAGAACGACACGCACAGATGCAAACAGGCAGACTCGGTGGTTGAGAGGAAACAGAGACAAGACATTGAACCAGAATGAGCAGGACTTTAAACTGCTCTCCTTCTGCCAGGCTTACGGGGGAAAAAATGATTCTCCCCGCGTTCCGAGCCAAATCTATGAGAATTCCATGGGAAAGGAACGGGACACGATCAGGAGACGAGACAGACACAAAACCCTCTCTTTCCACTGGTCGCCAGGAACCATGAAAATAACTAAAAACTGACCAACAGATAGGGTTGGGAATTGATAAGATTTTCACGATTCCAATTCTCTTATCAATTCTGTGAAACAATGAATTTGGTAAGTGCACGGTGACATTCATCTACCTTCGCCTGGGACATTCTATTTCTGCCTGCCTCAGCGAAAACAGAAGGCAGTGAACAGGAGCTGCCATCCTCTGAGCCAGCCAGGCTACCTGTCTCGTCACAGTCATCTAAATCTAATGGAGAAGGCATCCGTTTAATGAAAAAACATAACTGTACAATTTCAGGAAATAAACTCATCTCCCCCTGATTTAAATAAACAAGTGTCACCTTTTCCTCGGTCCCTGAACTGCGGAGCAACTTCGTAGCATGTTTCATTACATCCATTGCAATAGCTAGAATCATGTAAGATTTCCAGCTACCAGTATTTCAAAATAAACATGCTAGCAATGAAGGTCTGGATTAACAAGAAAGGCACACTCCCTTAATAACCCCAAATACAGGCAGGAAATTGGTTTATTTCCAGAAAGGGAATTTACTAGGAACCACATTAAGCACAGCCAGTGATATAAAACTAGTTGCTTACCACCAGAGTTGCCTTCCATGCTGGTCGTAACTTTAGCTTCTGTGCAGAAGCATCAAATACACACATTCGTTAAAATGTATGCCATGTTGTGTGCGCAGGTGTTTCTGCATGTTGGATGGATTTCCTCCCGTGGGTGTAATTGCCACTTTGCAATGATTGCAAAGCGCCTTGTTGCCATCTTTCTCTTCCTTAAAACGAAGCCAAACTTTCAATCGCTATGACCTCTTTTGTTTTGCTTTTCTAGACTTACACCTGGTCACGTCGTACTTGCTAACTGAATGTCGTGTGCGTAACTTGCTTAAAAAATGTGATGTAAGTCGTGCTGCCCAGAGCTCTAGGCTCTGCTGCTGCCTGGAATCATTAAGAGAGTCTTTAAAACTGCAGTCTGTAACATTGAGGAGAGAGCAGACTTCGACTGAAAATTTGAAGAAAAACAGGTTTCACGCCACTCCCCCACCCTCTCTCTGCTTCACTCATGCCCCACCTCCAAGCTCCACCCCTCTCACAGCATCTGCGCGGCTACCGCATGCGACCAGAAGGGGGGGGCGGGATTCAGCGTGTGTGAGCTGTGATTGACACTTCCAGACGCTCCTCTGGCTGTGATTGGTTGTTTTGACTCGTCCCGAATTATTCTTTCCAGATTGAAATACAGGCAGTAGGCGGTACCAGTTGAAGCAGTTTTTTTCACAGGTTACATATCACATGTACTGCTGTCTGGGCATAGGGACAGTTTTAGCCAATATGACAAAAAAGTGATTTTTAAAAACTTACAGACTTCAGCTTTAAGCGAGCTGCCAAACGGTGCCATGGTTCTGAACAGAAACCGGTTTTCGATCCCCATCTAACAGACGAAACAGAATACAAACAAACAGAAAACAAAATAATGATCTGACCTCGATAGCTGGCCTGGATATAAAACCCCAACCACAGGTGGATGAGATGAAAAGTAATTAGACAGCCGGGCAGGTACGGCAGGTAAATGATATTAGCAATTGAGGTCAGCTATCAGAGCAGATCATGACAGAACTAAGAATTACTTTTAAGGTTTTGTAGGGGAGATTTTGTCTCTGCAGTCATCAATGAGTCTTAAGATAAAAAAAACAACAATTGATAAACCCATTTAATGTATATATTATATAAAGCCAAAAACAGATTTAAACACCAACGTACAAATATGTTAGTAACTTTATTAGCAAGGGCATCAAAAAAACTTGTCTGTCTTCAGTGGATATTGGTCCTTATCTGGCCACCCCTATGAAACAGGATAAAGCATACAGCGCCACAATATAAACATGCTACCCAAAGGTTGCAGCTATCACTGATGTTATCTTTGCTTAAAGTCCAATTAAAACAAATCCGCAGACATTAATATTGCTCAAATTCTTTCAAAAACTTCCACAAAGCATACAAGGGAACCATTTCTCTGAAGTCAAACGTCATTAACTTAAGTTAGCCCACTTCAGCAGTTGACAAAACTTGCTTTTAACAGTTTTGTCAACTGCTGAAGTGGGCTAACTTAGGGTGGAGCTACCAAGCTGCGACAAAAGTGAGCCACCCTAGGGGGCACACCCCGCCTTTTGGGAACCACTGGCCCAGAGCATGTTTGTTTCAAAGCCACTTCTGAGCTGACAGTTCACTTGTTAAAACAGTGACCGGACCAGTATTATCCTTAGTAGACTATATAATTTTAACTATAATTTTATAAAAGTTTAATTTATAGAACTGCAACCATCCTTTTAAAAAAACTTGATAACTCTATAAAGGCATTATATAAAAATGAGTATGACACTATTTTCAGGGTCTCGATGATTTAAATCCTCTCCTCTAGTTATCCGAAAATATATGTCACTCGCTGTAATTTAGGGGCACTGCAGAAAAACACATATGTTTAACCTTGGATCTATTTTTAAGTGTTTACAGAATGACTTTCACGCTTTGTTTTAAGCTTCCTGTTACCACATGTACCACACTGCAGGGGTTATCCTTGTAACGTGCATTTTAAGTACTTAAAGAACTCTTTAGTGTCCAGGAAGAAATATACAGGTGCTGGTCATAAAATTAGAATATCATGAAAAAGTAGATTGATTTCAGTAATTCCATTTAAAAAGTGAAACTTGTATATTATATTCATACATTACATACAAACTCATATATTTCAGATGTTTATTTTGTTTAATTTTGATGATTACAAATGACAACAAATGAAAATCTCAAATTCATCATATCAGAAAATTAGAATATTGTGAAAAGGTTCAAAATTGATGGCCCCTGGTGCCACACTCTAATCAGCTAATTAACTCAAACCACCTGCAAAAGCCTTTAAATGGTCTTTCAGTCTAGTTCTATAGGCTACACAATCATGGGGAAGACTGCTGACTTGACAGTTGTCCAAAAGACGACCATCGACACCTTGCACAAGGAGGGCAAGACACAAAAGGTCATCGCTAAAGAGGCTGGCTGTTCACAGAGCTCAGTGTCCAAGCACATTAATAGAGAGGCGAAGGGAAGGAAAAGATGTGGTCGAAAAAAGTGTACAAGCAAGAGAGATAACTGCACCCT